CGTCAGCCATACTGAATCAGAAATTCATCCAAGCATACCTACAACTAAAAAGGCTGCTAGTCAGCCGTATTGAATCAGAAATTCATCCAAGCATACCTACAACTAAAATGGCTGCTAGTCAGCCATATTGAATCAAAAATTCATTCAAGCATACCTACAACTAAAAAGGCTGCTAGTCAGCCGTATTGAATCAGAAATTCATCCATGCATACCTACAACTAAAATGGCTGCTAGTCAGCAATATTGAACAAGAAATTCATCCAAGCATACCAACAACTAAAATGGCTGCCAGTTAGCCATATTGAATCAAATCCATCCAAGCATAACTACAATTAAAATGGCTACCAGTCAGCCATATTGAATCTTAAAAATTCATACGTGTATGATATGTTACAGGTTGCATGTAGGAACATGATTGGTCCAGTTCAAAGTTCAAAGTTGCGTTGGGATTATGTTGATACAGTGTAACAATGTTGGCGCCGGTGATCTCTTACCAGTGTGCAACGTAGCCAAAATAAAAAGCATGATCATTTGAACACTGCTATTACAAAACTGGTAGGAGGTAATACATTTGGGGCGAAAGTATTCAAAACTCAGTTTTTGAATGTAGCCATGGCAGTGGTGGGCCAGGATTTTTTTCCAATTAGTGACGGTACGACCTACCTGTGAAGTATGAACAAGATCAGCCGAGCCAAAAAATTACAAAGGAGTTAAAAGCTGGTGAAACGTTACCCCAAATTTGGGATCAAATTTCTCGGTAATGAAAAAAGATATCAAAAATTCAAATAGTAACTTTGTGCCCACACTCAAGCTGAGTAGAATGAGCTATGTCTGAAGTGTTTTATCCTAAATTTGTAGGAGGAGATACATTTGGAGCGAAGCTATCCAAAAATCAGTTTTTTGGCTGTTGCTATGGCAACAATGGGCCAAAAAAAAATTTCAGATTTTTCCTAATAACTCGGGTGAAGATGTGACCTACCTGCCTGCCAAGTTTGAAAGAAATCGGCCAAGCCAAAAAAAATAACAGAAGAAATCATACGTGAAAACACTGAAAATCACACACACAGACACACACACAAAACGACAAAAGTGATTATAAGGGCAATCCGAGCGGATCGCCAACAATAAGGATGGAATATCAACAGAAAAGAAAATGGTATAAACTTACTTGGTTCATCTCTGCCGTGAGTTGTGAAAGTATCTGTACTCCAATCATACAGTGCTCCACAGAGCCCTGCAAACAACAAAGATGTGTTATTAACTTTCACAAAGAGAGGATACTGTAGAATACTTTATCTTCGCTTGGAATTTATTTTCGCTATTTTCGCTGAAAGGATGATTCCGTGAAAATAAAATCCAGCGAATATACATTTTTTTCCTATATTTATATATAAACTCATCAAAAATCAGTGAAAATATATTCCATACAAAACGTCCAAAAAGCCTTTTCAGCGAAAATTAATTCCAGCGAAAATAAAGTATTCCACAGTACTTGAATGTGACAAAGGAGAGTTTGTACCTTCTCAATTAGTACATTTATATATTTTACTTTTTAAAAGTAAAATGATTATTAGCAAAATGATGAAATTTGACATTTGAACTTTGACTTCTTACCTGTAAAAACTGTGTCACATCATCTACAACATTTCGGAAGACCCAGTTATCCTTCTGTGAGTCGAACCATCCTAATTTGGTAGTGCGTGAAAAGAGCTGTTAAGAGTGACAAGAAACGTTAATGACGATAAACATGGTAACGGTAACCACGGTGACTTTAGAGGCAAAAGATAATTTTAAGTTATAGTACAATTAACAGATTTTACATAATCTTTAATGAAAGCTTTGCAATGTGATAGATGACGTACCTGTATTAATGCTTGCGTAACATATGTCGGTAATTTAGGTCTGCTGGCAAGATAACTTAAAATGTAATTTCCTGAAATTAGAAAGATACACAAACACTATTTCAATATGTTTCCAGCTTAGCGCAACTCAATCAATGCTGTATGATTTTAGTTAAAACTGCATAATTTAACATATTATTAGCTCAATTAATTAATTAATTGATACAAATGCCAGATGATGGTCTATGGTCAAAAGAAAACATATTTTAAGGGTGCTGCATACAACAGATAGAATTGTTGGTTTATGTACATGTTCTATTAAAGATATACTTCTAAAAGAACAAAACTGAAATGAGACAGTAATTTTGAAAACAAAAACAAATTACATAAGAGTATTTCTACTTTCTTTTCATGTCTTGTAGTTGTAAATTTTGCTTACGATCATTCAATGTATGTCATACATGTAGCTCTAGAGCAGCATTTGTATTCGGCCATTTTGAAAAACATCATGGTCCTGTTTACATAGATGTTCATTGTATGTACCAAGATGTACAATAGTTGTCCATATACATGTATAATCGAAGTCTGGGTTCGGAATGGCTGAAATGCTTGATTTTGATGAATAACAATTGGAAGTTGTAAAAACAAAAATTCATTGCCGAGGTATTTACATGCTATAAATGTATTCCATTTGACGTTACACATTACCATGTGTTTAATTGTTAGGTACCACAAACATGATATTAGCTCAGTAATACATGAAATAAATCAAAGAAAGCTTAGAAAGAAACTCCCATGTGCTGAGAGTATTGGAGACACATTAAATATAATTCGAAAATAATTAGCTGAAAACTAATTATGCAAATCAGAAAATTAATATGAACAGATTTGAGTGTAAAACTAATGAGGTCTGCGCAATGTAACAGAAAATCTATGTTTCCAAGTTTAATTGAAATGTGGTTAGAACCAAAAAATTATGAATTATTATGCTTATTAGGGAATTAATATGAACAGATTTTTACCCAAACTAATTAGGTTTTTACATTGTCCTAGAGCATCTATGTACTAAGTTTCATTGAAATGGAATAATTAGTACTTTAGATATCAGTGTGAAAGCTTAAAATTGGTTAATTATGCAAATTAGGTAATTGATATGTACAGATTTTAACCCACAATTATCCAGGTCTGTCTATTGTCCTACAGCATCCGTGTACATTCATTGATATGTTATGTTTAGTACCTGAGGTGATTAGGTGGTTAATATGCACAAATATTTACCGGAAACTAATTGGGTCTGCATAATTCTAGATTCATTGAAATGTGATGATTAGTACTTTAGATATTAGTAGAAAAGCTGAAAATTAATTATGCAAATTAGGTAATTAATATGCACAATTATTTACCCTAAAACTAATCAGGTCTCTGCATAGTCCTAAAGGATCTATGTACCAAGTTTCATTGAAATGCGATGATTAGTACTTGAGATACCCGTGGAAAAGCTGAAAATTAACTAATTATGCAAATTAGATGATTAATATGCACACATATTTATCGGAAACAATCAATCTCTGCATAGTCCTTGAGTATGTAAGTACCAAGTTTCATTGAAATGTAATGCTCACTACTTACAAAAAATGTATATCAAATGCTGAAAAATAATTAATTATGCAAATTAGGTAATTAATATGTACTGATATTACCATAAAAACTATCAGGTCTGTGCACTGTCATATGACATCTATGTACCAAGTTTCATTGAAATGTGATGATTAGTACTTGAGATATCAGTGGAAAAAACGAAAATTGATCAATCATTATGCAAATTAGGTAATTAGTATCCACGGATTATTACCAAAAACTAATTAAAACCTAGCATTAGTTCAGAGCATGTATGTACAAAGTTTCATCAAAATCCAATGAGTGGTTGTTTAGATATCAGTGGAACAACCATGGAACAGCTAAAAATTAGCTAATTATCATGCAAATTAGGTAATTAACAAGTATGGATTTTTACCAAAACCTAATCAAATCTGCGCATTGGCCCAGAGCATCTATGCACCAAGTTACATCAAAAACCGATGTATGGTTCTTGAGATAGCAGTGGAACAGTCGGACACACATACACACTAACTGCAAAGACTCCCATTATGTGCTTCGCACATGGGAGTCAAAAA